GCTTGCGTGCGCGCACATGCACATACACACGCACGTGTGTATGCGTATACACGTGTTTGTGTGTATGCGTATACATGTGTGAGTTTGTGTGTGTTTTTTTGTGTGCGTGTATGTGTGCGTGTCCGTCCCACACGCTGCCGTGCAGAAGCATCCGTGGTTCTCAAACATGATGCGTTCTCCCAGAGCTTGGTCCGAGCAAATGCCGTCTCCTCACTTGGAATATCGTGTTCATGTTCCTATTCCGGGAGGCCAGGACAGTGCCTGGCATGTGGGAGAGCACAGTAAATGCTGACAGATGCGTAACTCGCTCTGTGCTGTCGCGTCAGAGTCCTTCTCCTACACTTAAGTGTGTGAAGACACATGGAGGAACGTAAGGTCTTCCCAGGAGAAAGAACCAAAAGTCCAGGGGAGACGGAAGAAACAGGATGGTTACAGCTTTAGGAAGAGGGGCCACTTTTGAAAGTGTGTAAATTGAGAACACGACTGAGCAAAGATATGAAGAAGTCATGAGTCTAAGAGAGACGCTCTGGAATCATCAAGTCTATCTGCTAATTGAAAATGAAACTAACTTTCACCTGTGAAAGAGTGGAGGCCAACTACCTTCTTGAGGCAGCTGGGTCCTCCCCATCAATGAAGACAGTTCCAGGGAGGAGGCAGGGGACGTCATTGAGACCACTGTGCCCCCGGAGGGGACGTGTACTTTCAAAGGCCACCATCTGTGTGGTTCCGGGGGAAGCCTTCCTAATGGGCACACCGCGGGCCGTGGCAACCTCTCGTGATACAAGCTCTCCAAGCAGGAGCACGGAGCCCTGGCCCGATGGTTCTGGAAACCTCTCTCAGCGGACCATGGTCTGATTTTGGAATCTCGAGTTGGCTTGGGACCTGTACACACCACGTGTGGCAAGTTCCCCATCCAAGCCCTCAAAACACAGGCCTGGGCCCTCTGATTGCCCACGGGGGGCAGGGAAAGCTGATGGCAGGTGAGCCGGCCCTCATCGCTCGGGAGGGTGGGGGCCGCAAGATGAAGGCTCCACTCGATGGACTGGACTCGGCCCCCGGAGGGGGTGACTAGGAAGCCCCCATGGAGGAGGTGACCAGGGACCTGGTAGGCACAGGGGCCCGGCTGAGACGTCACTGAGGGCGCTTTCCAAACATCCCTACCGCCTTCACTTTCTTTTTGGATCACATAAGACAATGGTATTTTTCAGTCTCCTATGAGCCTTCAACACACACTTGCAACTGTGTGATCACTTAGCCGAGGGTACCCCAAACGAGAACTCCTCTGATATTGACTTTAAGCTGGCGTTACTGTTTGAGAAAAGATCTCCAAAAGGCAAATTCGTTCCAACAACGCCCCCAGTCCTCAGCTTAATAACAAACATTGTATTTTCTTGAACATTACTGAACAAAGTTGATATAGAAGTAGTTAAATATTACACAGAACTGGATCTCAGTGTACAGTATTTGAAGGCAGTTGAGTATCAGTTGCTAGCTGGGGTAGGGGGTTGGCTCCCTGGGGAGGCCACGCTCCCCATCTGAACCAGAACTTGCAGTGAACGCAGAAAGGCGCCTACGGTGTCCTAAGAAACGTGAACAGCCAAGGAACCCTGTGTGTCCTTAGCTGTGTTACTTCCCTGTATTAGCCAACAATTTACTCTAAGAATGATGACATAGAAGGAAAGGGGAAAACGGCACCGTGGTTCCCTTTCCAGTCAGTCCTTCCTGACTTGTCTGTAAACTGAGGGTAAGTTTTAGAGCATAGGGAGAGTGAAATAAAACCAGGTAAGTTAGTTTTGTGCTGTGTTTCCACCATCCTAGTCAAAACAAAATATATCCACATACAAGTTATGAAGTACGAACGGGTGATTTTGGTGATTTCATACATGAGTTAAATGCTTTTATATTTGCATATTAAACTGGCACTGTACAATATAAAGAATGATAAAATTAATGCTAATAATCTAAATTTTTTGTATTTCTTTACTTAAATTGATAATAAATAGCAAATTAAAAAACACCATGACAAGCCAGAGAAAAACTGCAGGAGAATGGAAAAAGCTTTACATTTTAGCATCTTTAAAGGCACTTTCCCTGCTTTTTGAATAAAGGACCCCACATTTTCATTCTGCACTGGGACCCAGAGGTTATACAGCCAGCCATGGTTTCAGGGGTGAACCAGGTATCACTGATCTTCTCAGCCCTTGGGAGGGCTTGCAGGGGCTTGGGGTAGTGGACCCTACATCCACTCCTGACCTCTTCCCCTGGCGTCAGGTGGCTGTGATGCTGTCCTAGGATGTGAACTTTCAAGGTGACCATGAGGTGAAAGTTAGGGTCCCCTCAGCTCCCCTGGTCCCGCTCAGAAGACCATCTCTGCTGGAAGCTCACTCCTACGGCTGACCACTTGAGAACACTCTGAGTCCCTGTGTTTGCTCTGGTGCCCTCCGCCTGGGACCCACCCCTGCTCCCTGGGGGACAGAGCCTCTCGCATCCCCCCAGCTCGGCCACCAGCTCTCTCCCTGGACATCTCAGCCCCGTTCCCCAGTTGCCCTGGAACTTGATTAGTTTGCCTCTCTTCTCAGGGTAGCGCGGGGCAAGGACCATGCCTGCCTGCTCCCCGTGGATCTCGAGCCCAGCACTGGGCTGGGCAGATCCTGAGTCCACACTGACTATTTGTTTGATAAATGAATCAGTGCAAGAAGACACCCATGTTACGATGTGTTAGGTTATTCAGTGTTTTTCAAAATTCAAATCTAGGGCTTATCTCAGTGAAGCAGTGAATTCCAGACATTAGCTGTGACACCAACAAGCTTAGACTTTTGCTAAAGCATGTGAGGACCAGGATGTTTTAATAAAATGTTAAAAGAGCAATTCATTATTAATAGCCTAGGCAGATATCTATAAATATTTAAAATTTTTTAAATTAGTAATTTTTTAAAGAACAAAAATACAAACAGCCCCACCTTCATTTTCTCTTATTTTTTCCACTTCTCCTAACTTTTCTTCTTCTCATACCTTTGGTTTCTAGCCTGAATATTAGCTCTTTTGCAGGCAGAAATTAAAGAAAAGAGTAGTTAAGTGATTGCAAAGCTTTCCCCATTAATTACATCTCTATAAATATTTATAATATTTTATTTCTTGTTTCAAATAATTTATTAGTACCAATTACATCTTCTCAAGGCATAATGCAAAAGAAAAATGTTTAACATTTTATAATGATCAACATAGTAAGTTTTGTTACTTTCTTTTTCCTAATTTCTGTACTAAGTCATCCTCCAAGATGTCGACCTATTTTATGAGTGATTTTGGAATACAGCATTTTCTAACTCACGTTGGCATCAGTAGCCCTAAGCCGGCACCCACTTTAGTCAAGTGTGGATGCTTGGAGAGTTTTTAAAGTGATGCTGAATCCTATCCTTTGAACTTTTAAAAATATCGTTTTCCCTTAAACCTGATTATTCTGAAGCCACGTTAATTCTGACTTGAGAAAGCAGTGTCCAACAACACAGCAAAGCGTGGCTCTTGTAACAAGCAGTTCCATAAGTGGAGAAGGTGGGGTGACAAAAATCACAATGGACTTACACAAGACGGAATTTTCCTGTTTGCAAATGGCTTTTTCATGCCTTGGTCCAACGTCCTTGACTGATAAGTGTCCAGTTCATCATGCAAACCGACAAGCCAATTGCTAAAAAAGGTCTTTCTCATTTCTGCCAAGAACCTCTCTCTGAGTCTGTGAAATAAAAACGCCACGCGGAAGGCTGAATCGACACCAGCCGTAAGATTAAGTCCAGAGTGCCGTGGAGATCACTGCACAGAACGCCTTCTCCCAAACACCACCACCACCGGACAAAGCAGGAGGGAACAGGCCGAGGGGATAATGCTGCCCAGGCCCCCGGGGAGGGACCAGATGGGACCTAATAGCTCTTTTCTACTACTAATTTCTATGATAATTCCGAGTTGCCACATGGCATATGTATTTTTTTTTTAACCTAAAGACAGAATATCTGTCAATGAAGTGACCAGGATTTTAATGAAAGGTATTTTTCATGAACTGTATCTATTCACACGTTATATTTCTCACCCACCCCTCACCCCCACTCTCCAGCAACATGTCACTGATGGTAAGGTTGCGAGAAGTACAGAGACAGAGGTCAAACACAATACGCTTATCATCATTACCAATACTAATTAGAAACAGAGATCCTGAGTTTTATTAGGAGGTCAGATGCCTTTTGCAGTGATTTTTTTTTTTTTTTTGCAGTGATTTTATGAAGTTGCCTTAATTTCTTTTTCTTATGGTCAGGGGTCAGGCCTGAATTTAAAGATGACAGCATGCCAACTACTGTTGGAGAAAAAACAATTACGCTAGTGAAATTTCTTCTGTTTTTAGAGAGAAGACCAGAGATGAGAGAAGGAGATATTAATGATTTGGGAAAATGACAAAAGGAATTCCAGCCATTCTTACTGATGAGTTCAAGTACAACTTTGTTAAGGGTGTCTTTCCCTGTCCTCCCGACCAGACGCAATGTTCCCCGCCCCCGACCTCCTGGAACACCATTTGTGCTTCTCTGGTGGCACTTGCCACGTTCTTTGATTAATTAGCGTCATTTCTGGTAGGCACGTGGAGTGACCCCGTTGCATTTTCTCAGCACCCCACCTTACACACAACAGACTGCAGCAAACAGGGAGGGAGGAGGAGACCGAACTTGGGGAGAAATACCCCAGGAGGAATGAGCATCTTGTCATAGGCACCACTTCTTAGCATAAACATATGTGACTTGATTATGAAAATCAACTCTTCTAAGTTTGATGTAGCACAAAATTATTATATTTAATATAAACTAAGGAATGGTATGAAAATCATAGTTTTCTTCCACCCAGATTGAAAGAAATTCCCTCTTCCCTCTTCCACCCAGTTGTTAAGACTTACCTCTCACGAGAAGGTGCCTGGAAGCTGGATGCTGGGATGGTTAATACATTACACACTTAGCGCAAAAAGATACAAGCTCTGGTAGAGGGGGATGAGGCACTTCACGGCCCTGCTGGCGTTGATGCAAGTGGCACAGATAAGGCTTGGCAGGAGCTGCCCACTCACGATTGCTCCATCAAATAGGGGCCCAAAAAACGGAACCTGTTGATTCAAGACAAAACAAAAACAAAAACAAAACCACTTAATTTAAAAAAAAAAAAAAGCCAGTAAAAGTCAAACCAAAGACATGAGAACAGCTGCTTGATGTCTCGGACCTGTCACAACTGCACAGGCTGCCACCCACAGACTGGATGCTAGACCTGGACCCAGTTCCAGGGCTTTCGGATCAAGCCAAGCAGGACTGTTCCACGACGCTCCTCTATTGCGAACTCTTTGGCTAAACTTCTCATGACAGATTGTCACCAAGTTCTTCTTTTCCTTCTCGCGTTGTCATTCACGGGAGTGGCATTGTTCTTTCTAAGTATCTCCACTGTGTGGATTATGCACGTACACAGCCAGGCCTCACTGTACACCCCTAGCCTGGCAACCTTCTGAAACCAGTTTTGGAACTGGCAATATTTTTGCATGAATCCCAATGCATGTTAACTCTTAAAGGAGATGACAACTGTCCCCACAAGGTCCTTCTCCTTCTTGAACCTTCTTTCCCTCTGCTTCCGAGACACTGCATTACCCACATTTCCTTCTACTTCTTTAATAGAGACTCGGCTTTCCTTCATGCCTGGGCCACCCACAAGGTTTTGCTGTCTGTCTTTTTTGGATTTCTTTTTTCTCTCTCTCACTGTTTGTTTGTTTTTTTCATTAGAATTTCATCTAATCCATTCACTACTATGGAGATTGGCAGCTCCATGTGGTCAAGGACTGGGTCTTCCTTATAACTCTTGTATTTATTCCTATCACTTGCTTATTCATTTATTCAAAAATATTTATTATGTGACAGACACTGTTTTATTGACTGGGGACACAGCAGCAAATAACAAAAAAAATTCCTGATTTCATTGAGCTTAGAATTTATTGGAGGTTTCAGAGAATAAACAGTTTAAATACATAAAATATGTAATATGTCAGGTAGTAAAGTGCTAAGGTGAAAAAGAAAGCAGGGAAGAGCAATAGGGCTCTTTCTTGGGTGGGTGGGGGGTCCTCCAGTTAGAGGCCGCACAGCCGGGGGCGCTGCAAGCAGAGGACTGGACAGAGGGAGGGGTGACCTCAAGCTTCGAGGACGGCTGACGGGAGAGCATCCCAGGCAGGGCAACAGCAAGTACGATGCCCTGGGTGGGAGCCAAATCCATATGTTTCAGCAACAGTAAGGAAGCCACGGTGCTGAAGTTGAGTGAGAGAGAGAAAGCACGGAAGGAGATAAAGTCAGACAGGTAATAAGAGGGGCTGCGAGGGGAATTTTATAGATCTGGATTTCCGCTCTGAGTGAGGCAAATGCCTTCTGGAGGGTTTAGGAAGTGAGGGATATATGATCTAACCTGCTTTTTTTTTTTTTGGTCGCACTGCACAGCTTACGAGACCTTAGTTCCCCGACCAGGGATCGAACCCACGCCCTTGGCTGTGAACGCGTGGAGTCCTAACCACTGGACCACCAGGGAAGTCCCAAACCTGCACTTTAAAGGTATTGCTCTGGCTGCTAGGTTGGGAAAACTGCGAAGAGTGAGCATTATGGAAACCAGTTAGGGAACTACTGTGTGATCCAGGCGAGGGGTGATGCTGGCTTGGATGCCAGTGGTAGCAGGGGAAGTGGGGAGGTAGAGCTGAGAGGATTTGCAGAGAATTACTAATGAAGCGGGAGAGTAAAAGAGGCGTGGATGATGCCATGGTGTGTGGCCTGATGACCGGAAGGTTGGAGCCACCTTGTCCTGAAAGACTGGCAGGGAGGGCCATGAGCTCAGTGTTAGACGTGCTAAGCTTGAGATGTCTTTTAACTACCCAGTGGTGATGCTCGAGGGCGGCAGTGGACACATCGAGTGGGAAGCCAAGCGGGAGGCTCAGGCTGGAGATTTGTAAGATCTGACACTGGTGCTCACAGCCATGAGGCTGGATGTTCAGACAAGATAGGGCACGTACAGGGTGGTATGGCCATAGTCCAGGCTGGGTATTCAGATGATCAAGAAAAGGGGTTCAAGAACTACATCCTGTGGCCCTCCAATGTTTAGAGGTTAGAGACATGAGGAAGAATTATCAAATAACGCTGAGGAGTGGCTGCACGTGGAGGAGGAAAACCTCCAATGAGCAGCACTGACCCTGGTACACGGCTGGAATGCAAATGAGTAAAATTCATTAATATTTGAAATAATTTAAATAAACTAATAAATGTGGGTCTCCAGCCTAGGTCTTTTGACTCATGTCAAAGACTATTTATCTGTAGAACACCTTTTCTGTGGTTAGAATTGGGGGAGGGGCTTGGCATACACAGTGAATGAAAGACTATCTTTGCCCGTAGGAACTGACATGAGGAGCTGACACAAGAAAACTATGCACTAATAATATCCTTCAACAAAAATGCAAGAACCCTTTACAAATTTTTAGCAAATTAAATCCAGCAATATATAAAAAGGACACTGTATCTTGGCCAAAGGGTACTTTCCATAAAAAAAACCCAAGGTTGGTTCAATATCCATAAATCCATCAATGCAATTTACTACATTAGTAGAATAAAGAAGAAAAACCATATGACCTTCTTAATAGAAACACGAAAAGCATATATAAAATTCAACTCTCATTCATGATAAAAAAAAGTAATTCCCAGCAAACTGGGAATAGAAGGGAACTTCCTCAATTTGATGAAAGCTTCGAGGGAAAAAAAATTATGGCATAATTCATGGTAAAACAATAAATGTCTTCTACCTAAAGACTTGAAAAGGCAAGGATGTCTACCCTCACCCCTTTTAGTCAACATTTTTAAAGCTCCTAGTCATTACAACAAAGAAAAATAAAAAGAGAGGAAGAAAAACGAAAGGAGCATAAAGATTAGAAAGAAGTAAAGTAATTTTTATTCACAGGTAACATGATTATGTCCATGAGAAATCCAAAGGACTTTAACTAGAACTAATAAGTGAATTGTGAAAGGTCACTGTATACAATATACCCTCCAAATAATTGTATTTTTGAATGTTAGCAACCAATAATTGGAAAATGACATTTAAAAATACTATTCATAATGGCATCAAAAATGTCAAATACCTAGAAATAAACTTGACAAAAGATATGCAAAACAACTATACTTAAAACTACCAAACATTGCTGAGATAAATTAAAGGCAACCGAAACAAACAGAAAGATGTACAATGTTCATCGATTGGAAGTTTCCATATTATAAAAATGTCAAGTCTTCTGAAACTGAATTATAGATTCAGTACAAAACAAATAAAAATTCCAGCAAGCTGCTGTTATAGATATGGATAAGCTGATTTTAAATTTACATGGAAATGAAAATACACAGATTAGCCAAGACAATAATAATAAGACATATTACCTGATTTCAAGAAATACTATAAAACTATAATAATGACTATAACATAATATTGGAACCAGGTTAGACAAATATATCAACAGAACAAAATATAGAGTCCAAGAATAGAATCACACATATATGATAATTGATTTGCAGTAAAGGCAACATACCAATTTTATGGGGAAGGAAAGTCTGTTTCAATAAAGACAATGAAACAACTGCATAGACATATTGAAAAGTGAACCTTGACCTCTACCTCATACTACACACAAAACTGAGATGGATTATAGGTTGAAATATTAAAGCTAAAACCACAAAGTTTCTAGAAGGAAACATGAAAAAATCTCTGCAACCTTAGGTGAGGCAAGGATTTTTTAGGGTACAAAAGGTACCAACCAGGGACTTCCCTGGTGGTCCGGTGGGTAACACTCTGCGCTCCCAATGCAGGGGGCCCAGGTTCGATCCCTGGTCGGGGAACTAGATCCCACATGCTGCAACTAAGAAGTCCGCAGGCCGCAACTAAAAGATCCCACATGGTGCAACTAAGACCCGGCGCAGCCCCCAAAAATAAAAGTACCAATCATGAAAGAAAAAAATTAATTGGACAATAAAAATTAAAAAAATTCTGCTCATCATGAAAGTGAAAAGGCAAGCCACACATATTCAACCAAAGTGGATATATCCTAAATGTTCATCAACAAGAGCATGAATCAAAATTTGTGGCATGTTGACTCAAAAGAATAGTCCACAGTAATGAAAGGAACAAATCTATAACATCACGGGAATGCCCCAATATAATGCTGAGTGAAAGAAACAGACACAAAGAAGTTCATGCTATATAATACTATTCAAAAACAGGTAGAACTAATCAACGTTGACAGAAATCAGAATAGTGGCCACTTTGGGGGAGGATTGGTGATTTCTGGGGGTTGGTAATATCCTGTGTTTACATCTGGGTAGTATCAAATTGTCTACTTTGAGGGGCTTCCCTGGTGGTCCAGTGGTTAAGACTCCATGCTCCCAATGCAGGGGGCGTGGGTTCGATCCCTGGTTGAGGAAGTTCCGCATGCTGCACGACGTGGCCAAAATAAATAAATAAATAAATCGTCTGCTTTGAAGACATTCACCAAGCTGTGCACTTACAATGTGTGCCCTTTTCTTTATGTTACATTTCAAAGAAAATATTTTTTAAAAGACAAGTAAGAATATAGACGATTCCAACAACACAACTGACAAACTCATCCTAATGGATACATACAAATTACAGTTGCAGAAGACATATTCTCTTCAAGCATGCGCAGAATTTTTTTTTTTAATTGATCATATTCTAGGCCAAGGATATAGCCCGTGGGGCCTAATTCCAGCCTGGTGCCTTTTTTGAATGGCCTGCAAACTTAAGAATGGTTTTTACTTTTTCAAATGGTTGGAAAAAAATATTTTGTGATATGAAACTCAAAATCAGCCCAAAATACAGTCTTACTGGAACATGGCCACCCTCTTCACCTGTGTCTGCTTTCACACAGCAATGGCAGAGCCGAGCAGCTGTGACAGACACTGCATGGGCAACAAACCCTAAAATGTTTACTACCTGGTCCTTTAAAGAAAAAGTTAGCTGGGCCCTGTTCTAGGTCACAGAGCAAGTCTCAAAAAATGTCAAGGGGTTGAACTCATACGATCCGTATTTTGT